GCAAGGCCTTCCTGCCCTACATCAATTTACTGATTACATTAATTCCCTGTATCCCACTATTAAATTTGAGCTAGTTTTTTCTGAGTGCAAGCTTCAGGTACTTGATCTTACTTTATATCTTATCAATGGATTTATTAGGACAGACATCTATTCTAAACCTACAGATAACCACTTTTAATCTTCTGCCTTCCAGCTGCCATCCTAAGCATGTTTTCAAGGCTATTCCTTTTGGAGTAGCCACAAGATTAAAAAGAAATTACTCTGAAGAAGTATTTCTCGCCGAGAGAACAGCTGAGTACAAAGAGTACCTTGTTAACTGGGGCTATCCTCTAAATTAGTTTCTGAGCAATTCTCCAAAGCCTCTGCCATTCCTAGAAATGATTTACTCAGGACTCGTGGAAAAGAAATGAAGAAACTATTTCCATTTGTTATTACATTCAATCCAAACTTGCCTGATGTAGGCAACATAATAAGAAAGCATTTGTTCATTCTACAATTCAACCCCAAATTGAAAGAACTTTTTCCTTGAAATTCTATCATACCATTTTTTCATCGGTCGAAAAATCTCAAAGAATCATTATTAGCACCATCTCGTTTTAAAACTGCCAGCGAGAGACAAATGATTCCTCATGACAATGGCTGCTTTAATGCGATAGGAAAAGATGCAACCTCTGTCAGAATTTCTTTGTTTAATTAATTTAACTCATTTCTCAGCTTTCAGATGGGCAAAAATTACACCATTCATTTTAGACTTTCCTGTGCTTCTAAAAATGTGATTTACTTGGCTTCTTGCAAGAAATGTTGCCTGCAATATGTGGGATGAATACTGACTTTAAAGTTAGGTTTCGAAATCACAAATCTGCTATGCTCACAAACAAAACAACTTGTGAAAAAGCAATACACTTTAACAGAACTCCACACACCCTAGGTGATTTTGCGTTCCAATGTATTGATCAGGTACAGGCCCCAAGTGGCTCTGAAGAGATTGATGGGCTTTTAATCACAAAACAGGCTTATTAGAGTGCTCAGCTGTTCTCTTTGGCACCCCATGGTTTGAATAAAAGAAAGGAATTTCATTCAAAAAAACAGAATGCTATAATTAATTTTCTATCCTACATTAGGTGTTACCGATTAATTGTTCAAAGGCCCTTTTCCTTGGATTTTGTCTGCCTTTTAGGTGTTGATTAGACTCAGAGGCCCTGCCGCTGGATCATATTATGATTAGTATCATTTAAGTGCCCCTCCAGGGATTTTGCTGCTAATTTGCCTTCTCGGGCTCCAAAGGCCTTGTTTTGGGATTTTGGTACGGTTTACAGCTGCAGGTAAAAGTGGGTCTACCCTTTTCTAATGCTTGCCACATTGCCTCTTTGGGTAGCACCACTCATTTTTAGCAAATTTAGTTTTTTTATCTTTTAGTTTTTAGGTTTTATCTCTTTTAATTTGTCCATTGTTTTCTTTGTAGCTTGGTTTTTTGTCATCTTTTTATTAGCACCAGTTCTTTAGTCATCACCTGTAATTACATAATCACTAGCACTTCGATCTTATTTAAAGCCCTTTTTTATTCAAAAGTTGTAAATAACTGAAGGTCTCTGACTGAAACATTTTTATTAAAATTTTTTATCTTTTTTTATGTCAGAAGTTGTCCACCCTTGCATTTTTTTAAACTTTCTACATTCGTGTTTGCTGTGAGGTTTGGACTGCGAATCTTTATTGATCCTACTGGCGCAGTGCACCTTTGTTGGCCTGAGAGTTCTACTAATGACTAATATATACTTCAAAAAACTCATTAATAATTCATGAGCTTATTAGCCTATCACATGAGGCAAATCCATCATGTGTATGAACCTTTCTAGCCAGTATAGAATGATCGTTCTGAAAAGCCCAGATAGAGTTTTGATTTCCGTCTCGGGGGAAATCGGGGTACAATTCATAAACAACGAAATCATCACTGAATTATTAATGAAAATATGATTACTGTGATCTTTATATAGAGATCACTAGAGATCTTTATAAAAAAGATCAC